GTTAGCCAGGATGGTCTCGATGTCCTGACCTCGTGATCCGCCCGTCTTGGCCTCCCAAAGTGTTGGGATTACAGGCATGAGCCACCGCGCCCGGCCAAAAAAAATTTTTTTTTTAATTGGTTGGGCATGGTGGCACACATCTGTGGTTCTAGCTACTCAGGACACTGTGGTGGAAGGATCACTTGAGCCCAGGAGTTCGATATTAACCTGGGTAACATAAGGAGACCCCATCTCTAGCAAATGATTAGAGCTAATAAATGAATTCAACAAAGTTGTTAGATATAAGGTCAATACACATAATCAGTGGTATTTCCAAATACTGGCGATAAAAAAATCTAAAAAGGAAATAAACTCCTTTTACAATAGCATTAAAAACAATAAAATACTTTGAAATATATTTAACCAAAGAGGTATGAGACTTGTACATGGAAAACTATAAAACACTGCTGAAAGAAATTAAAGAAGGTCTAAGTATGGTCATGTATTGCTTAATGATGGGAGTACTTTCTGAGAAATGTGTCGTGTAAGTGATTTTGTTGTTGTGTGAACATCACAGAGTGCACTTACACAAACCTGGATGGTATAGTGTACTACACATCTAGGCAACATGGCATAGCCTTGCTCCCGGCCTACAAACCTGGACAGCATGTTACTGTATTGAATAGACAATTGTAACACGATGGTTTTTGTGTATCTAAATATAGAAAAGTTACAGTAAAAATATGGCCTTATAATCGTATGTGACCACCATCATATATGCTGTAAGTCATGGACCAAAATGTTATGTGGCACATGACTGTAAATGGAAAAATATTCATGCTTAAGGATTTGAAGACTTTATTTATATATATATATTATATATAATATATTATGTATATTTTTTGAGTTGGGGTCTCGCTTTGCGGCCCAGGCTGGAGTGCAGTGGTGCTATCTTGGCTCACTGCAACATCTGCCTCCCAAGTTCAAGTGATTCTCCTGCCTCAGCCTCCTGAGTAGCTGGGATTACAGGCACGCACCACCATGCCCAGCTAATTTTTTTGTATTTTCAGTAGAGATAGGGTTTCACCATGTTGGTCAGGCTGGTCTCGAATTCCTGATCTCATGATCCGTTTGCCTCAGCCTCCCAAAGTGCTGAGATTACAGGCGTGAGTCATCACACCAGGTAGAAGACTTAATATTGCTAAGATATCAATACTCCAGCTGGGTGTGGTGGCTCACACCTGTAATCCCAGCACTTTGGGAAGTCGAGGCGGGCAGATCATCTAAGGTTGGGAGTTTGAGACCAGCCTGACCAACATGGTGAAACCCCGTCTCTATTAAAAATACAAAAATTAGCTGGGCATGGTGGTGCATATCTGTAATCCCAGCTACTCTGGAGGCTGAGGCAGGCAAATTGCTAGAACCTGGGAGGCAGAGGTTGCAGTGAGCTGAGATCGTGCCATTGCACTCCAGTGTGGGCAACAAGAGGGAAATTCCATCTCAAAAAAAAAAAAAAAAAAGAAGATATCAATACTCCTCCATTTCAAAGCAATCCCTGTCAAAATCCCAGTGGCCCCCCTCCCTTTTTTTTTTTTTTTTTAACAGCAGTGGAAAAGCTGAGCTAAAATTAATATGGAATTGCAAGGGACAAAACAATCTTGAAAAAGAAGCGCAAGTTGGAAGACTCGTAGTTCCTGATTTCAAAACCCACTACAAAGCTACAGTAATCAAAATAGTATGGTAGTAGCATAAAGATAAGATATATAATCAATGGAATCGAATTGAGAGTACAGAAATAAATTTATACATCCAAGGTCAATTGATTTTTGACAAGGGAAGAATCCTGTCTTCATTAAATGGTGCTGGGACCAAAAAATCGGAAGAGCTCTCGCAGAAGGGTCAAAGAAAAGTCTCTTTGCCCAAAGGGATCAATTTAACTCCTTATGCTTCAACAGACTCGGTCTCAGGAGCAGTGAGATTTGAACTCACCACGGGCTCCCAAAATTGCTGAACAGGAGATGAAGGAGGTGGTGGTGGGGGAAATGAGTCTGTAGGTGAGGATCAATCTCTATCTGAGTCCCAGCGCTAAAGACTTACAAATAAATCCCGATTTAGGCAAACCGAGACTTTATTCAGAAAGGATTATTGCAACAGGGGGGAAAAGGACTATTGCAATAGGAAGAAGGACTGTTGCAATAGGGAGAATGCTGGACTATAAAATAAAAAACAAATCTGGATATACGTAAGGAGAGAGTTCAGTGGAAGATATCCAAGAAAAGGGAAAGAAACTATTGCAACTGAGAGTGGGGGTTGTGGGAGGCTACCGCAACCGGGAGAACTCGCCAACCATGAGATCTGCAGCGATCTCCTGGGTCAGGCAGAAAAGGACTTTCCTTTTACAGAGATGAGTGAACAAGGCTAGAAAGACCCGGGTGTGGGGAAGTGGGGAGAAGAATGGAGGTGGCAGCGATGAGACTACACAGATAATGTTTTCCCTGGGGTCCGTCCATTTTCGGATGAGGAGGGCTGCGCGCTGGCGGCGGCTGAGGCTCGGTCACCGTGTAGAGAGGCCGGGGGGGGGGGGGGGGGGGGGGGGGGGGGGGGGGGGGGGGGTGGGGGGGGGGAGAGCTGCTTCACTCAAGTCCTGTCAAGTCAAGGCAGCCGGGATTTGTCCACATTGTGAGTACAGACAGGTCAGCTAACCATTTGTGAGGGGAAGAACTGGAATTTAGAGGGTCTGGGCCTGACCTTGTCACAGCTAACCACGGGGGCATCCTTGAGTCGTGACTAAGTCACATGCGGAAGGGCGTTTGCGTGTAGTAAGTCCGTTTAGGAACACAAAGCGGCCGGGCGCGGTGGCTCACGCCTGTAATCCCAGCACTTTGGGAGGTCGAGGTGTGCGGATCACCTGAGGTCAGGAGTTCGAGACCAGCCTGGACAACATGGTGAAACCCCATTTCTACTAAAAACACAAAAATTAGCCAGGCGTGGTGGCGGGCGCCTGTAATCCCAGCTACTCAGGAGGCTGAGGCACGACAATCGCTTGAACCCGGGAGGCGGAGGTTGCGGTGAGCCAAGATCGCGCCGTTGCACTCCAGCCTGGGGGATAAGAGCGAGACTTCGTCTCAAAAAAAAAAAGAAAGAAAGAAAGAAAAGAACACAAAGGTGGGTGAGGGTTTCTTCAACGTCGCTGTTAAGGGCCACAGGGCTCCGGTCAAGTTCAACATTGTCAGAATGCAGGGACGTCTCTCCACGGCTTCAGAGTCTGAGGAGGTACCTGGGTAAGCACACGCTGGGTTCTCTGGTGAGCACACACCGAGCTGCCTGCTTCTCACCAGTCCAGGGGGGCAGCCAGCCGCCGGGCCCGTGGCGGGAAGGGGAGGCCGCCATTACCGCAGTTTCCGCCGGGACCTGAAGCGCCCGGCCGCGACAAGCCCCGCCCCCTCGGCGCGCCCCCGCGCCCGCGCGCGCTCCTCGGGTCTGCGCGGAGTCGGCGTCGGCGCGCGCTTGGGCGCCTGGAGAAGACCGAGAGAGGCTGGCGGGATCTCAGCGGCGCGGCCGCGGAACCTGAGACGGTCTGGGGCGGCGGCGCTCCGGATCTGAAGGGCTGCAGCCAAACGGAGCCCGCGGCCAAACGGTGCCCGCGGTGCCTAAGCTGAGTGAGGCCGAGGCCGGGAGGCCGTGCCCGGAGGTGAGCGTCCCGGGGCCGCGCCGCGTCCAGCCGGGTGAGGGCGGGGCGGGGCGGCCGCCTGCCGAGTGGGGCCGAGGGGTCGCGGCCTGTGGCCGGGTCGCCGCGGATCGTCGGTGTCGGGGGAGTCTCGCTCCGGAGGGCCGCGCGTTTGCGATTCGGGAAGTGGCACGGGCGGCGGAGCCCGGGCCAGGCTCCTGCCCAGTCCAGGTGAGCAGCGACCCCGAGCCCCTGCGGCTTGACTCGCCAGCTAGCTGAAGGCACAGCTCCCGGTTCTCTCGCAGGGCGTTCCGAAACTTGGAGTTACGCTCTACACAATGTTTCTATTTTCAAAGGCGAACGCTGCACGATTGCGGTCCAGTGATACAAAGTATGCCTATTAGTGACTTCACCCGTCTCCCACAACTCACTTTGTCTGATGTTTTGAAGGCCTGCTGTTCGCTGATTTCACATTTCCTTATTTTCTTCTTTGTGCCTTTTTTTCCCTTTTCGCTGCCTGTAATAAAAAAGTTTATTACTTGTCAGCAATGATGAATGTTCGTGTGGAGTCCAGCGTTGGTTCCTATGTACGTAATTTGAGATAAGTAAAGATAGGAAACTGCGGATTTGTTTTGATGCGAATGCAGAAAAGAATGTGGTAGTATGAAGTCTGCCCGGTTGTAGTTTGTTTTTAGGGGGGAAACTCTTTAAAAATTCATGTTGTGTCTTCTGTCTAAATATGCTGAAAGTCGGATTTATTTAAAAGGCAGTTAAATTCAGTGAATTAAGAGTATCTTTGTATAATACTAACGTTAGTGCTAGGCACTGGCGGAGTCCAAAAATGTGTAAAAAATGTGTGCGGGAAGAGGGAGTGGTTAAGCACACTAACGACATGAGGCTGACTGCAGCGCGGTATTAAAAGAAGCTCACACACACTGAGCAGTTGTTTTCAGCTGGGCACTGTGGAGGGTGCTTTACTTACATTTTAATTTAATAATGTATAATAATTAGCATAGACTTGACTTAATATTTTTTCATTCAAAAAAAATTTAGTACCTACTGTGTACTGAGTGCTAAGGATTTGATAGTGACAATTACAGACTCTGCCTTTAGACTATACAGTGTCGTTGGGCAAAACAAATATTAAGAAAATAATCAGGGCCCTGAGCGATGGCTCACGCCTGTAATCCCAGCACTTTGAAAGGCTGAGGTGGGCGGATCACCTGAGGTCAGGAGTTATAGAGCAGCCTGGCCAACATGGTAAAACCCCATCTCTCGCTACTAAAAATACAAAAATTAGCTGGGCGTAGTGGGGGGCACCTGTAATCCCAGCTACTCAAAAAAACTAAGGCAGGAGAATCGCTTGAACCCGAGAGGCGGAGGTTGCAGTGAGCCGAGATGGTGCCACTGCACTCCAGCCTGGGTGACAGAGCGGGACTCCATCTCAAAAAATAAAATAAAATAAAATAAATAGTCACACAAATAAATGCCAATAAGCCAAGACAGAGGCTAAAACAAAGAATGTAAGTTGTTTGTGAGAGAAGGTAACAGGGGGACTTTTCCCAGCTGGGAAGATTTTCCTAGGAAAGTAATCTTTGAGCTCAGATATTAGGGATAAATAGGAATTAGGGGAAGATGATTCCCAAAGGAGAGAAGAAAGGCTCAGGCAAAGGAAATAGATGGCATGGAGGCTAGGGAAGATGGTCATTTCAGGAACTTCAGCAGTTGGTGTGTGGGAAGCAAAAGGGTGCTGTGATAAAGTAGGTTAGGGCCAGAGAGATGATGCAGGGCTTTTTTTTTTTTTTTTTTTTGATACAGAGTCTCACTCTGTCACCCAGGCTAGAGTGGAGTGCAATGGCACGATCTCTGCTCACTGCAACCTCTCCCGGGTTCAAGCGATTCTCCTGCCTCAGCCTCCCGAGTAGCTGGAACTATAGCACGCCACCATGCCCGGCCAATTTTTGAATTTTAGTAGAGACGGGGTTTCACCATGTTTGTGAGACTGGTCTTGAAATCCTGACCTCTGGTGATCCACCCTCCTTGGCCTCCCGGAGTGCTGGGATTACAGATGTGAGCCACCACGTCCAGCTGATACAGGGCCTTTTAAGCAATGTTAAGGATTTGGGACCAGCTTTTTCTGTTTCTTTTTCTTTTTCTTTTTTTTTTTTTTTTTAGCTTTTATAGAAAAATTTTCAAACCACTCAAATGTAGGGAGAAAACAGTACAATGAACTCTCCTGTAATATTACCCAAATGACTTGGACATTATTCTAACTAATAGGAAGTCATTTAAAGGTTTAACTTAGAAAAAAAAAATTACAGCAGGATAAGTCCTACAAACAACTTTTCTTTTCTTTTTTTTCTTTTTTTTTTTTTTTGAGACGGAGTCTCGCACTGTCACTCAGGCAGGAGTGCAATGGTGCAATCTCTGCTCACTGCAACCCTGCCTCCCAGATTCAGGCAATTCTCCTGCTTCAGCCTCCTGAGTAGCTGGATTACAGGCATGCACCACCATGCCTGGCTAAATTTTTTGTATTTTTGGTAGAGACAGGGTTTCAGCTGGTCTCGAACTCCTGACCTCAAGTGATCCGCCCACCTCGGCCTCCCAAAGTGCTGGGATTACAGGCATGAGCCACCCTACCTGGCCAACTTTTTATTTCAAAAAGTCGTCCTGACTACTGTGTAGAAACTGGATTGGATGGGGACAAGAATGGAAATGAGGAGACCACCTAGAGTTGATGGTGGTTGGGACTAGAGTTGTGGCAATGAAGGCATTGCAAATTTAAGAGTACCTAACTGATCTCTTCTCATGTTAATAATTTTATATTCATACCTATTGGAGAAATCATGGAAGGTTTTCAAAAGGAGTCGTATTTATTTATTTATTTGAGATGGAGTTTTGTTCTTGCCACCCAGATTGGAGTGCAATGACTCAATATTGGCTCATGGCAACTTCTGCCTCCCGGGTTCAAGCAATTCTCCTGCTTCAGCCTCGTAAGTATTTGGGATTAGAGGTATGCACCACCATGCCCATCTAATTTTGTATTTTTAGTAGAGTGAGACAGGGTTTCACCATGTTGGTCAGGCTGGTCTCAAACTCCCGACCTCAGGTGACTGCCTGCCTTGGCCTCCCAAAGTGCTGGGATTACAGGTGTAAACCACCATGCCCAGCTAAGGGAGATTGTATTTAAAATGGGCTTTGCACTTCCATCCAGACCGGAACCCAAGATGGCTGCACTCTTGCTGAGACATGTTGGCGTCATCATTGCTTCTGAGCCTGCTTTAGCCCTCAGCTCTGTATCAGAAATGCTGTCCTTTTGGGAACCACGGCCAAAGAAGAGATGGAGTGGTTCTGGAATAAGAACACGGGTTCAAACCATCCCGTATCTCCCCACGTCACTATCTGCAGTTGGTCTCTTCCCACAGCAATGTCCATCTGCCACCATGGCACTGGTATTGCTTTGAGTGCAGGCATCTCTTTTTTTGGCATGTCGACCTTGTTACTCCCTGGGAACTCTGAGTCTTATTTGGAACTCATTGGTCCCTGTGTCTGGGGCCAGTACTGATCGACACAACTAAGTTTGCACTCGTCTTCCCTCTCATGTATCATACCTGGAATGGGATCCAACACTTGATATGGGACCTAGGAAAAGGCCTGAAGATTCCCCAGCTATACCAGTCTGGAGTGGTTGTCCTGGTTCTTACTGTGTTATTTGTAGGGCTGGCAGCTGTGTGAAGAGCTGAGGTTTCCAGCATCATCTTCCTACATATTATATTCACCCGTCTTTCTGTTTGTCACTGTTGTCTCCAGCCTGGGAAAAGTTCTCCTTATTTATTTAGATCCTTTTATGCTTTCAGGTCCCCTTGGAACAGTAGAGTACCTTCTATACCATAATAGTGGAAAAGGGTCTAGTTTTCCCCTTGTTTCTAAAGATGGGGTGGCTGCAAAAACTCCCCTTTTCTTGCCCACAGCTTGCCTAATCTGGGCCTAGAAGCAGTTATTCTCTCTCCATATTGGGCTTTGATTTGTGCTGAAGGTCAGCTTTTGGCTCCTTCCTGGGATATTGGAAACAATGCCAGCTTTGTGGCTTCGGCCCTGGGGACTGGGGGTGAGGCTTTGGGTGGCACTGCCTGTGAGTTGCTGGCTTAAAGGACAATTCTGTTCATTGGTGAGAGCCAGGCCATTAACACCTACACAGTGTTACTGAAAGAAGAGAGGTGGGAGTGGAGCGGAATTAGTCTATCCCATCTAGAGAGAGATAAAGAGGGCTAGTTAGTTCTTGGAGCAGCTGCTTTGCGGGGAAAATATGTAGCTTTTGACACAAGAGGAAGATCCAGAAAATTATTGAATATATTAAAGGTTATTTCTTTTTCTTGTGTTTCCAGAAAAGCCTCTTAATTTTATGCTTTCTCATCCAAGTCATGTACCATTTTTTTCTGAAATTGAATTAAAATACTTATTTAAAAAAACAAGGCGGGGGGGCCCTTTGTGACATAACATAACATTTCAGTATGGAGCCCTGGAATGAGAATGTCCTGGAATGAGAATGTCTTGGTCAGCCCTGGAATGACTCAGTAAGTAACCTTGCCAGTCTCTGCCTAAGTGTCACCTTTCCCATAGGATTTTCTCATTTAAATTACTGTTGTCACTACCACTTTGGTCCTTGGAGTATTTAACTATCCCATTAAAAATTTCTAGGAAAGGACAAAAATATATTTGTTTCATTACTATGATTACAGCTAAAATAAGCTGAAACTTTCCAAAAGATTTCATTTTCTATCACTTAGTATGTTGTAAACCAGAATTCACAAAATATACAAATGAACTGTCTTTTAAGTATTTGGTTCTGATGCTATCATAGTTAGTTGCTCTTGGAGGCTTGGGGGTCTAATCACATTTCATAGAAGATCTAAGTAAAAGGACCCCAACATGGAAATGTGATCCATTGGTTTCTTTTCCCTCATATTTAATAGCTGGAATGGCCTTATCTTTAAAAAGAAACTTAAGCTTCTGTATAAAGATAG